TCATTATACGTGTACTAGGATATTAAAACTAGCGAAAATAGCTGAACAAAAGTTTAATAAATTCATTTGTTTATCGTGTACATTCAACTTAAAATTGTCCGTGAAATGCACTTGTAGGATTCAAACATGCAACAGTAAAAACAATGTAATAATATTAAAATATCCGTCGGTGGTATCTTAAGAAAATATTTAGAAATGGCAAAGAAACGTATTCTACACACGATATGACGATCAACATACGTATTCATTTATACTTTCACTCTGAAAATAAAACTGATCAACGGAAAGTGGAAAGGGAGAAAAAAGGAACATGTGCGTTTTAGACGCCAAAATTTGACGTCACAATAAACACGTTTTTCTAAACGTCAACGCTTATGTCATTAAGCCGGTTTTGTCAGAGAGCGGTCCATATATATTCGTTAAACACTTTATGAATATGAAAGCTGTTTTATCAAGGGTTCTTATACTTCGAAATATACAGGTGTATGCTCGGCGCATATGGCCTTTGGACATATAGGGTCCTTTTTGGCACAGGTGCTTGAGGACAGGACCCCCCCCCCCCGCCCCTCACTATGTTCTCTATGTATACCAGTGGTATATATATTTTAATACATAGTTATATCGCGTTAATTGTGAATTTTATCCATCAACATATGCTTAAAAAAATTAAACATCAAAAAATGAACTTGGGAAGCCCTAAATATATATTGGGGGAGGGGTCCTGTCCCCAAGCACCTGTGGGCACTTTGAAGTGAAAGTTGTGCGTCTTTCTGACGACACCTTAAAAATCGAGGTCCCGTGCGTTAGCACGATGGGGAACCCTCACTGCTCAATGGACCTGAGTGCCAAGTAAAGGTCTAAATTTGAAGCCCTTTACCGGTATATGGTGACGTCTCTATATGAGTGAAAAATTCTCGAACGAGACGTAAAACAACAACCAATCAGTCCATCTATCTTGTTCAATACTACATCACTTTACAAGGATATGTTTCATTTGAAAAGCAGAATAGAAACTTGATTGAGCTCACAAAATGATATTTCCGCTCCAATAGGAGTTTTCGTCCTGTCGAAGGTGATTCTTTAAAATATTATCGATATTCATTCGGGGTTTAAGAAGGAACTGCGTTAACAAAATGGATACTCCCTTTGACAAGAATAATGGCAAAGTCCATGTTTTGATATAAGAAATCCCAAATATCTTTTCTGATCAAGACGTAAAATTAGAAGTGCACAACATTACGGTTTAAAATAAAGATTAAATATGTGAAAATCTAATAAAATTTTATTCAGTTGTATAGGAGGATTCAGAATAAAAGATGGGAAACCCTGATTCCGATGGAAACGTAAAATAACAGGTGATTATTATAAGGCAATTTGTATTAAAGATTCTATATTAAATAGCATAAATTTGCAAGAGGAATTGCGGATAAGGGATGTCCACCCTGAGTGTGCCGGATATACAGATACTGATTGCAGATACCCCAATCACTTCAATGTACATGTGTACATCCCCCTCCCCACCACTTTTCAAGAGGAAGTAAAGTAAGTGATCTTTATGTTATATATTCCTTCCAATGATATACTCAAATATTTCTTACATTTTTAGTGAATGTGTCAATAACACTTTATATCGTTCTTCTCAACATTGCATCGCATTTGCATTGCTTACGATGCAGAAAAGCAATCTCTAATCATGCAAATCACTGTTCAGATAGAAACATGAAATGAAAGTAACATGCTTGACCTTTACGTCTTCTTTAATTGAAAAATAAAACAGATTAATTACATTCAAATGCTCATTGATTAAAATCCAAACTTCATTTGGGGTCCTACAAGAAAATTTGATAGATTGTCAAAACTTGCATATTTTCTCCGGAAATTGAGTGCTTTTGTTCGAGCGTACATTTAGATTTGAATTTTGTCTTTTTAATACAATGAAAATTTTAAGACTTTTTTAAAAGAAGAAGACTATTTAATATGTTTAACAATATTTTGATCGGTAATCAATCGGTGCCATTATCACAGGTGGTGCTGGGATTCTATAATTCGTTTCCGGTTACTTAAAATGTTTTTAAAATTTCAGATCAAGGAGAATAAAAAAAACTTAGTGTGAAGATATCCTTAGGTCTAATTTGATCGTAAAACATCGTTTGAGAAACTCTCTACGATCGCGCGAAAATGCATGAGAAGGGATGTCTCTTTTATAAAATATAACTTTCAGCCGTAGGGTATGTCGGTGGATTAAACTGGAAAAATAAGCATCTCTTTCTAGGTTTGTCACTGCACTATAAAGTGTCAAGGTCTTCTTTTTCATGTCTGGCCCATCGTCTGACGTACTCCTCTATAGAATCCATAATATTTTTGAAATTCCGGCGCCAGTTGATTGATCGGGGTTCCCTATATTTAGGACCTTTTAAAATTAGTGATCTACGGTCCTCATTATATATATCCTCATCACCATATAAACAAATTAATATTTCTTGAATTTCTCATAAAACTTTATTATGACGTAATATTTTTATTTTTCAGAGATTTAATGAATTATTATTGCAAATGTTATTGCAAGTCTCAGAGTTCTATGCGATTGTTTGAAAAAAATGGCGCGGTCAACGTCTGAGGCGTGGCAAGCCTTTTTTGATGCAAAATTGTAGAGTTGAATACAAGTCTTTTATGAAAAAACAGCTTTGAGCATAACGGAGAATACTTTGAAAAAGAATACTAACGAAACACTTTGTATAACTTTGAATATCTTTGGAAAACAATTTAACATTCTCCCCCGATTTAAGACAAAAAGCATACATTTATGTCTATGAGGATATTTTTTTTATCACATTATATCAAGAAAACGCTTAAAACCATAGTAAAAAGTTATACACATTGTTATGATTATCAGCTGTTCTGTGTATTTATGCTATTATCAGCTGTTTTGTGGTTGTGTAAGCGCGCGCACGACAGGATAGAGGTTGTCTGCGTCTAGAGTTACACTGAACATTGAAGAGCCTAATCGTTTACCAATCATCTCCATCCAGTCAGCTGAGTATACCGGTATGTGAAGATTTGTAATGATTAAAATTGATTTTGTATTTGTTCATTATTTGTGTTTTTTAAATATATGTAATTTATTTAATGTGTATAGTTAATCATTGTTGGGACTGGTTCTTTGTAAGTTAAACTTTTTTATTATTAGAACTGGGGAGTTTTTTTTTTTTTTTTTTATCTGCGTTCGGTGCATGTTACAGCATATTCATTTAAAATGACGTGCTTATATTAGCAAAGACGTGATGGCTTCAACTTTTTAATGTCATACGTTGCAACGCCATCTTACTAATGAACTTGATAATATTTCCACAAATATCAATGTACAACACTAAAATTTTAAACATGCAAAAGGCAGGACAAAGAAACCAAAACAGTTCAGTGAAATTTTTAAGTTATAAGCCCAGTCAATGGTATCTTAATACCACTCTTTGTTATCTAAATGAATATATAAACCTGATCTCCTCTGTCATTCGCTGCATAAAACCTAAATCAAAACCATTACTTCAAGTTACAATTTCACTATATCAGATTTACACATTGTCGTTGTGAGGGTTGTTACACGGCTTAACGAGGGCGCGCTCTGCGCGCCCGGGGCAACCGTGTAACAACCATATTGTTACTTATTAGTGTTTGATTGGTAAGAAATGTAATCAGATAAAAGTTACACTCTTTTGAGATGCATACTCACTCTGTTCAAAACTTTAAGTAAAGAGTAAAGGTTTTGTTTCATGTACATTGCTGATATAGATGATTTGATTAATAGGCAGCTATGTTAAGGCTGTCCGAAAACTTAATATGCATTAGATATATACTATTTTATTTTGAGCTATGTTTTGATTTCAATTTGTAATCTATGTATACATACACACTTAAGTTGTAAAGAGAGTTGAATAAGGTATTATAAAATATAGCATTTCCGTGATGTCACATGACTGTGTTGATCACGTGACGAAAAGTGCTGGGGGCAAGTCTGAATTTTATTTCTTACGAAAATATTTCACGAGAAATTCAACTTACCCACATACAAAGGGTCATTTTCCTCTCTTCATCGCAATTTATACAAAATAGGATAAATTACATACAATCCCCCAGCAAAATTCAGTTAGAGGACATATTTCTCTAGTATATTCACACAGAATATCTTCAATTAATCCTTATTATTCACTTGTGCCAGTCTAATATATACACGATTTATGAATTCTCACTCTGTCTCCAGACGCGTAAGGGGGAGCGTTTCACATTTTTTTTTTTGTAATTTTTTGAAAACGTACATGTTAGACAAGAAAAAGGAATAACGATATTATACTGCAAATATTCACCATTATAACAGCCTTAAAACAAGAATCCAAACACATGAATTAAACATCAACGTAAAAAAATTCTACATGTGATGTGAAAGGAATGTAAAAGTTATGACACTTTCCCCGTCATGTCTGCTCAAATTTGCGGTGACTTGACGTCATATGTCATTATGACGTCATATCTAGGTAGTTCAGAGAAGTTACTGTGGCTGGTACACTGTGACATTCTTATGCTAGCCGCGTAACACACTTCAACGAAAACAACTTGAACACCAGGGGTGTACATATATTGCTACCTGGGACAAGTGGGCCTATGACATATTCTATCTTGGACTTGAATTTGAACCAGATACTTTCTATGAGAATGATTGTCTTAATGTTTACCTGAGGATAAATACACATTGATAGGTTCAATTATTAATCAATTAAAACTTTGCATTCGAAAAGACCAGTGCAGGCATCAGAGATATTCCAAGGGCAATTAAGTGTAAATTTGCGGTCATTAGAATGGAACCATGCGACAAATAAAATTCCTGTATGGTTTATCCGGAAGGCACTGCTGCACAGTTAGATTTAAGAATTAAAGTAGACTGAAAATAGGAGATAAATAGTTTGAATTGACATATATTTTACACATAAATTGTGTTTCTTTTAGGTGAATCCTAAATATGGGTGAGGAGTTTCTACAACATGCTTATAAATCAAAATGTGATTTTCAATTTGAAGTAAACAGAACAATTACTATGGATATTGAAGCTGGGGTAAGGCAATCGATAGAATTGATTTTACAGCGTTTGAAAAAAAGTTCTGCATTTGAAGTGGCTGACATAATACCGACAGGAAGTTTTTATGAGGGCACGAAAATAGGAGCGCCTGACGAGTTTGATTTTATGCTAACTTTAGCAAAGCTTTCTGGAGCCGACAAAATAGCTCTTCAGCCTGGTTGTTCTGATTGGTATCCTTATATCAAATTACAACCTGGTATTGAATTTCCCCAGAGGTATAAAATTAATATTTTTTATGACAGTGAAGAACAAAGAAAAAATAAAGACTTCCTGGGAAATCCTAGATTCGTGGTTACGGACTTTTGGAAGGAAATTGCAAATGAGGTCGATTGTATAAATGCTTCCCCTGTGAAAGTGAATATTCCTCTGACTTATGGAACCATGTCTTTTGAACCTTGTGAGGGCAAGAAACTTGAGCTTCACTACATACAAAACTCAACCTTACCAAAAAATGCTGACATTCAAATAAAAGAGGAAATATTTCCAGTTGGGAGTTTAAGAATTGGAGTTGATCTCATGTTGGCAATTGAACATCCTTCCGTAGAATCAATACTGAAACTACCAGGGTTTCCAAAGACCTTTAAAGAGTTACTTTATAAACATGGATGTCATGTTATTCCAAAATCATGCCATACTGATCATATGGTCCATACAAAGTGTTGGTTTGTAACTTTTTCGTGCATGGAACGTGAGCTGATAAACAACATGAATGACCACCACAAGAAATGTTACAAGATTCTGAAGTCACTTATTAGCAGTGATATAACCATGTCAAGAAAATGCATGAACTTGTCATCTTATACTCTGAAAACTGCATTCTTGTTTCATGTGTATGGAGAAAACGGATGTTTATATTCAAGAACAATGTCGGCATGTATTTGCGAAATTTTAGACTATATGTCGTTAAATCTATATTATTCCAAGATGCCTTGCTTTTTTGCAAGGGATATGAACACTTGGGGAAATATTCTGGAAACTCCTTGGTTTCCATGGAGGGTGTCAGAAAGTTCCAAGGACTCCAGTTATGTATTTGCATTATGCTGGATAAAATTAATGTATCACTTTTTAACATATCTGAAGAATATATTCGTTAAAAAGGCACCACTTTTTGGCAAAGATTCGAAAATTTTATTTTCAAGATGCGACTATTTCAAAAAAGCAGTGGAGGTTCTGATGAAGCATTTTTCAAAAAACCGATTATTTTTTGAGATCGAAAAGGTTCCTGGTTCTTTAGAGAGTTGCACAGATACATTTTTCTCGATCTTCATCCAGAAACTAAAACAGAGTTATAATGTAGACTTATCCTTTATTAATTATTGAAACATTGGATATTATGTGGTTTCAAAGTTCATTGTATGTAAAGATCCTCATATTTAAGGAGGAATAGGAAAAATGTTTCAAAATGTCGAGTTTTACCCAATCTTGATTCACAGGAGCCGGTTACATAAGATAATTTGATATCCCCATATATACAAAGAAAAGTGAACCAATGTTGCCTCGATTTTTCACTGGGTTTATCTTAAAATCTCTAGGGGGTTTTAAGAAAGCAATACAATGAATTAAAGAGTAAAATCATTGTATAGTGACCTTTCTTTTGATAAAGAAAATATCACCTTTATCGATGAAGAGGAGTGTAAGTCCGGATTTCAACCTCAAGATCTATCTAAGACGTCGATGTACTTTAAATCATCTGCTAATAACACACGACAAAATTCACACCTTGTATCTCATTCTTTTTTAGCCTTGTAAATGTGAATTATCATGATATCCTTTCTCACAGAATTTTTTTCTCTAGTAATACTTCCCACTATGCGTCGTCTTTTTCCAAATGATAACATTATGGCAACATTTTCCGTACACTGTGTGGCTTTAGCCATTAACAGTCGGCTGTATGAGATACTACTATGTGAGATTATCTTGAAAATTTTGAAAAGCTTTTCCTTTTTTACAATCTGCGTTTAGTTGTTGGGTTGAAAATAGAGTACTCTCCAATAATTTAGCGGACGACTCTAAATACATAGATTAGAATGTCAAAATGTTGTGATTGTAAAACAGCACTAAAATACTTCATACGTTGTTGTTGATAGATTTTTGTAAAAGAATATTTATCATTAAACGATTGTACTAATTTTTTTAAAAGATCGTAATATTTTGTTGAATAAACGGAATACTTTTAATATCAACCCTTTTTAATATTAGACTGATGTTGGTTCTCTTTATTCCTTTTTTATACATATGGAATGTTCTAAAGGATATCAAATAGATTAACAAGTAATTTTGATTTAAGGGAGATAATGGAGAAATCGCAAAAACAGATTATGATATTTTAGAATTCTCACTTCACCGGTATATGGTGATGTCTCTATATGAGTGAAAAATTCTCGAACGGGACGTAAATTAACATACAATCAATCAATCAAACTCGAAAGTCCAATGAAATGATACACATTTGAAGCAGAGCAAACACGGACCTCAGAATTTAAAAGTGGGATCAGGTGCCATGGAGGAGTGAGCATCCCCTGTCGATCGATCACTCCCGCCGTGTGTTCCTTGTCATAATCGAAAAAAAAACCCGGAAAATCCATAGACAGTTTAGTGTATAAATCATGGCCTAACAATTAGCATGAAAAACATCAGTCAGCATTTGACTTAATGATAGGTTGTATGTACTGACAAGGTTATTGTAACGACCATAAAACTAACGAAATGATGACCTCAAACGAGAGTGTTGATATTCTTTTCTCATCATCTTGTTTGTCAATAGTTTGCCTCGTTTTAGAAATTGTTAAGACGTAGAGCATGCTCTTGCGTATCGAATCAACTGAGAGACATAAACCCCATATGTAAGTGATAAAGGTATATCGCTACTTAAGTAAGGGAAGTTGACGATTGAAAAGTTGACGTCATCACGTTTATCATAAAGCTTTGTTGTTAGGTTACCATTAACGTCTTTTTCTAGTAAAATATCTAAGTATGAAAGAGATGTGTTAGACTCTGTGGTATCTTTTTTATTTCAAGATCACTGGGATATATCGAGCCGACATATGAATGGAATGAAATATATGGAGAAAACGAACAGTATTCAAGCTCAAAAGTCCATTAAACGATACAAATTTTGGAGCAGAGAAAACACGGATCTCTTAAACATCAGAGGTGGGATCAGGTGCCATGGAAGTAAATATTGTTAATTGATAATACGTAGTTGATGTATCGAAATGTCGAGTTGAAGGCAACAGCAAGTGTTTTCTTCTTCTCATGTAAAAGTTTTTAAATAAATTCTGCTTTATATGAATACAAAAATAGATCAGCTAATAACGGGGCGCAATTGTTACTCATGGAAAATTCAATAGATTGTTGGAAGACCTGATCTCCAAAAACTACAAAGAAATTGTAAATCAGAAACTCAAGCATCTTTTTAATATCAACTTTACAGTACAATCAGAATGCTTTTTAACAAAATAATTTTGCAAATGACCAATGGCAAGGTAAGTATATTTACGAGTTCCATTATTGTAAGGCCTATTACAACAATTAATTATAGAGGAACTTAAGATTCAAGTCTGTTAGTGGTGATCCAATTTATACCCATACTTTCCTTTCTAAATAATAATAACCTTTATTTACCCATGATTACACAATTGGCATATAGCTAGATTTCATTGTGGTCCTGCATTAAAACATATTTACAATATATATTAGCGTGTTAAAAATTAATATCTAAATATAAACAGACAAATATAAGAAGTACAAGCACATATAACTTGACAGATATATAGTTACATAATTGGAACAATACATTCAAGGATTGACACACTAAATGAATTAAGGAAGAAGGAAGAGATTCCTCAAAATCATATGTCAGTTTTAAATATTTTTAAATTTCCCAACAACTAAATCAAATTCGAATTACTTTTCCTATACTGCTTTAGAAAACTTCATAAAAATCCTTACAAAGATCCATAGTGGGATCTATCAACTACCAAGCCTCTTTCTTTACTCCACAAAAACATTAACATCAGTAAAGGGGAAACTTCAGAAGTGTCGTGAAACAACACACATGTGTTCGGGAAATGGTGTTTATTAAATGTGGATATACTTAAAAACCTCATGGGACCATCGTTGAAATAATGCTTGTTTGCCCTCTCCCGACTCAAGGTTAAAAAAAATGGTTCGGTAGGTAGGTGGGGAAATTTTTTTTCCTAAAAATTTTCAGCATGCTTATTGACAGGATGAGAAAATCCTTGAATAAAAAGGGAAACAAATTATTGTTTCCTGGGATGGGGTCAATTACTTTAAAAAGTAATTAATTAAATTACAATTACTTTGACTTTTTCAATTAAATTACAATTAAATTACAGGCTTTCTAAGACATGTAATTAATTAAATTACAATTACTTTGCAAAAGTAATTAATTAAATTACAAATTACATTTTTAATTTTTTGGAAAAATTTTATAATCCTTGTCAATGAATATACAGAACATCATTTATTTGTATATAAGCTCAGCCTCTGCACAAACAGTACAAGAAATAATATGCTATAGGCATTGTGTATCATTCTGGTTTAATTTATAACATTTATTTACAAAACAATAAGAATCTCTTAAAGAACTATCCGAGATCAGTTTGATGCAGTTTCCACCACACAAAACCTACATATACACAAATTGCATGGCTTACGATATTTGATTGAAAGTGAGTATTTCAATAGAGTAAAATGAGTCACAACTGTAACCTCTCAAATTAAGTATTTCCTTTGAAGGTAACCTGAACATCCTAAATTGCTATTTATGTTGAACAATTTTACTTCATAAATCAGAATTGTACAGATAGAAAATTCATTCATAAAAATCTGTTTAGATGTTAAAATAATTATCAAATAAAAAGTTTTTTTTTTTCTAAAGCTAGCGGAGCATTTTAAATTGAAATAATTATCTCCATTGGCTTTGTCATCTAAATCATGGAATGAATATCTCTTTAGAGGAGTTGATTTGTTTTGATTGCAATTTAAAGCTGTGATCTGGAGGGCAATTATCTCTTCCCAACAAGAGAGAACTTTATTAATGACACACACCTTCTTTTTCTTTATTATTGATCAAACAACGAAGATTGAAATATAATAAATGTGTGTTTCATGGCTGAATAGACCTAAGAAGGGTGGTTCAAAATTCATATTTATAAACATAGATCAAAAAAATCAAAATTTACATAATGATTAGAAAGAAACTAGTTTATTATTATCAAGCCAATCATTTAATTATTTTTTTGTAAGCATTAACCTAAGATTTTGTATAATTGAAGGATTGAGGATATGTTTATCAATAAAATAAGAACCAGTAAAATTGGGAGGTAGTGGTGACGATATATCATGAATATATCATGAATGTGTATTATATAAAGTAATTGAATGTAATTGAAAAAGTAATTGAAATTACATGGTATTTTTTCAGTATAATTAATTAAATTACAATTACAAGTAATTGAAAAAATGTTCAATTACAAATTACTTCCAATAACTTCAAAAAATGTAATTAATTACAGTCAATTACAATTACTTTTTTCAATTACCCCATCCCTGCCTGGAGGATTAAAAAGTTTTGAATCGGACCATTCTAGGCAGTTGGTCAGTAGAGGGCAAACAAACAATTTTTTTAAAGATCACCTGGCCAAAAGACTTTTGGAAAATTTCAAATCACAAAATTTTGCCAAAATCAATGATATTAAAACTTAAGAAATTTTAAGACTTGATACAAACATTTCCGACTTTTTGACATCATAAACAACTGCTTTCTTCAATTAGAATGGAACTCAGAAAATTTCTTATCTTGTCATTGGTCATCAATACAAAATTGCTTTGTGGCTTGCGGTGTGCGGTGACCTTTTATAAATTTTCTAGATAAAAAGGTAAAATAAACACTTATGTGGAAAATCACTTCGAAAAATTATGCAGTTTGAAAAAAATTCAAAGTGTATTGAAATTGGGACAAAATCAACTCACTTTGAATTATTTTTCAATTTTTTTTACTTTCAAAGTGCGTTAAGAGTGTACATCAACATTTTTTACCATGGATACACTTAACACACTTTGAAAAAAAATATGTATAAAACAAAAATTCTGTACTAAGATTTTACTAATAGACAGCATTATTTTGTTACATTTCTTTCGGAAAACTGATGAATTGATCTCCCCTCGTCGAGAACGAGGAGAGGACAGGTAGAAGGTCCCTCGGCCCAACTCTTTATATTTCCTAGCAAAATATATGTATTTACATAACTGATATAGCATTTATATACTTTCTCTCAATAAATTTTAGTTACCGTAAAATAGATGAAAAAATTGAGATAAGATTTCCTAAAATAAATGATAATAACGCACCCTATGATATTACTAATTAAGAAGAAAGGCTCAGGGGCCATATTGCTGATCTAAGCACCAATAGCCAACTATACTTTAGCCAAAGTATCTTTACAAAATCAAACACAATAAAATCAAGAAAAACGTATAAAATGCATAAATAATTTTTTCATACCTCTTTATACTAATCAAATAACTGCTTAAAGAGGGGGCATCATATTGTGCGGGGATAAAATCTTTAAAACGTCTATATCTAAGATCCTGAAGTGATGTCATCACCTAAAAGTTATCCAACCAAGTTCAAATAATTATTTATCATGCCTAAATTTTGCAAAAATATTGACCAAGCAGTGCACTTTTTTTTTCAAAGTGCATTTATATGGTCGATATTAATGCACTTTGAAAAGAAATATATTTTTTCGAAGTGCGTTAACTTGGTCCCAAATTTAACGCATATTGATTTTTTTTCAAAGTGCGTTAATTTTCAAACTGTGTTGTAACATCCCTTGCGTTAGCTAGGTAAAATCTGTTGCCCAGTGCTTACCAAGGGGAGGTGGAAGTAGGGTTTTTAGCAGGGTATATGTCTCGTAGAACACTGGACAAGAACATTGATTTAAAAGCATTAGCACTGGATAAAACGAAGATAAAAAAAAAAAACAACCGCTGGTCTAGATTAAAAGGTCACAAAATAACAAATATGCATGCTTTCACATTTTGTGCTCCATACATGTATTACATGTTCATGTATAAAACGAGGGTTAATCCAAAAGTATTGTCACAACTGCCATGAAATCTTTAATAATCGAATAGTATCAACAAATTTTTGCATATTGATTTCACTACCTATTTTACTTTTTGCTTTAAAAGATCATTCAGATATTTGCAGTACTTCTTAAAATACATGTATTAAAATAAATACAACGTTGGGTCTTGTCTATCGCCGCACGACAAGAATATTACCGACGTCGTTATGACGTTACCTTTCGGCACATATTTTCAGTTCATCCGCATATTTTAGTAAATATCTGACATGGTTCTTTTTAATAATTTAACTGCAATTTTGCTATATATCGTCCTGTTTTAAGTTTTATTAAAATTATTTGAGCTTTGTCTTAATGGTTTTTTTTTTCAATCATTCTTTTTGCGTAGATCTTAGTTGCAGATGAACTGAAAATGAGAAACACTGCAATGACGTTGATAACATCGTTGCCGTGCGGGATAGACGAGACCCAACGTTGTGTTTATTTAATAAAATTTTAAAAAGTACTGCATATATCTAAACGAAATTTTAAGGCGGAATCAGATTGTTCTGTTTATAGCAAGGGAAACGTTTAGAAATCACAGTGAAAATTAATTCAACAAAAACAATGGTCTCTTTTATTATTTTTTTTTTAAACTTCCATCTTCTAAAGTCTGGGAAAAATTTTAACGAACAGAAAAATCTAACGTTATTTAATTTTAACTATTAAATCTAAATTTACATAACAAAGAAATGACAAATAATATGTTAAATCATTATCGTATCAAGCATAGTCAATCGAAGTACATGTAATATCGGAGAAACAACTGTTTTAAACTTTCTAAATTCTCCGAACAAATTTGCCAGACACGCATTCTGATGATTTTACGTGAGTCATGATGTGGTTGACAGATAGTTATAGTTTACATGTACATGCCGAAATGAATGGTCGAAAACATAAATTTTGAACGTCATGAAATATATTTACGTTTGATTTGATATTGATATTAATCATCCCCCCAAAATAACAGAATGGTTATCATACTAAAGTGTATGTGAATTATTAAAGGATTTGAAATTTTCATTCTTCTTATCACTGTATGAATGAAGTAAAATCAACATATGAGTCCTCGAGTTTTTTTTTTTTTTTTTAATCGGAAAGGCAGGTGAGTAACCGGTAACTTAAAATTGATCGATTTGACAATTCTTATGAAAAAGTATCGCAAAATTTGACGCAATTATAATGTATTTAGTGATAGTTATTTTGAATGCATCTCCTAATCCATGTATTTGATTTTCTTCACTTTACCACCATACTCAGCAACAAATAGATTGTCTGTTATATCCACACACAAACCCCACGGAAAGTAGAGATCACAGTTATCAATGTAATTGAGAAACTGTCCGTCTTGATCAAGGATGTGGATACAGTGGTCGTTACCGTCCGCTATCAGAATCTGAGCTTGGCTGTCTGTAGTTATCCCCATTGGATTAAATGTTTCTTTGCTAGTAGAGGATTGACCAGTGTATCTAAATCGGAGTTTCCCTGCCTGATTGACCACAACTACGGCTTTGGATCCATAGTCAGACACACAGATGTCCAGGTTCCTGTTTTCACATATGTATTTAAGTTCACTATATGAATACAATCTCTTACCTTGATCATCAGACATAATGCTTTGTTTCTCTGAGAATTCAGAGTAGCAGACGACTTTTGATTGTATATCACTGTTCATGGTAACCAGGAGGTCATCGGAAGATGTATTACAGATATACAAAGGTCTCCAGGCCTTTAATCTGATCACTTCCTGTATCTGGTCATTCTTCACTATGTTTATAGTTCTTGCTTCAGGGTCAGTATAAACTATATCTCCATTCCTCATCACTGCAGCGCCACATGGTGTGTTCCCTGACTTTGTTTGGATTGACTTCAGTAATGTCCCCTGCAGGTTGTACAATTTCATGATTTTGTTATTCCCGCTTACAAGAAGATCTACATCGCTAAGACATGTAACATTGTACAGTTTATTATACTCGGTTTTTATGGTAGTGATAAGTTTTGGTACATCAAGCAGTTGTTGAAATGGAGGAGAAGACATAGATCCGAGGGTCTTCATTGTGTAGCCATGTTCTTCTGTTGTGATAGATAATGGTGGCAAAGAACCAAATAACTTTGAAAACTGTCCTTGATTGTTTTGTGGGATAAAATTTGGAAGCTTAAAATTCAACTTGGGAGGCAATTTGATAAATTCATCTGATCTGATCTCATAAGACAATGATTTTAAAACTTCTTTTGATTGTAAAATTTCTTCTACTTCAGATAAAGATTGTCTGAGACCAGAGATCAGTTTTCTACTGACCTTAAGATGTTTTTTTGAGAGCATGTCTATGTTTGTTTTTCATCTCCTGAATTTCATCCTTTGTTTTCTTGATGACAATGTCAATTTCCTTGTGCCATTCTTCTCCATGTTTTGTAACATCTGATGTAAGTTTTCCATATTTTTCGTCTAAGCCCACTAAATAAGATTTTGAATCAGAAACAATTTCTTCAAATGTTGGGATAACTGTTTCTTGTAACCTTTTTTTTTCTTATTTTCAATGCTTTCTTTTTTTGACTTTCACTAAGTCTTGTTACAATGTAAAATGATGCCTCTTATGTATGTTGGAAGTAACACATTTTGGACATACTGGAGTGTTACAGTCTTCACATTGTGCTTCACAGTACTCTCTAGAATGCAATTGACAGCGAGGGTACACAAACATAGATTTTCTCATATTTAGGGGTATGACATCATGTTTTTCAGAAAAATCAGAAATGTGATCTCCAACGCGTCCTTTACACAGATTAATTGGACAAACTACAGTACATTTGGGCCACTTTATCCTCACAGAGATTACATCGGAGGATGTCTTGGGCTTTCGTTTGGAAATCCATTTTTATTATCCTCTTATCTGTAGAACAATAAAATTAATTTGGTGAACATTAATCATGGTTTTAATATGGGATGCTGAAAAGAAAATGCATAAAAAAGGCGCAATGCCGACCTGCTAAGTTGTGGCCAGTATCACATTGAATAATTCCGTTTCTGTCAATCTCATATTACTTGGAATTGTCCTTGAGTTATTATTTATTAGTCAGGTAGGACTCATAATTTCCAAAAATGCTAACATAACATCATCTCCAAGTATAGGTCAGATGTAGCATCTGACGCTTGACAGGTTGTTTAATCCTTGAATGCATCATACTTGCAAGTTTCGTAAATCATTAAGGAATAAACTTGCACATAAAGCTTCAACCTGGCAACTAATATAAAAATATGCTGAATACAGCTTGCAGAGGATTATTTGAATTATGCATTCCTAAATGCACCAACCTTGCAGGATGTGTCTGGATTTATTCACTTGGAAACTAATGCATGAAATATGGAGATAATGAACAGTAATCAAGCTCAAAAGTCCATTGAAACAATACAAAATGGGAGCAGAGAAAAACGGACCTCTAAAAACTTCAGAAATGGGATCAGGTGCCATGGAGGGGTAAGCATCCCCTGTTTGATCGGTCACACCCGAAGTGTGTTCATTGTCATGATCGGGCAAATGGAAAAATCCGTAGACAATTCAGTGTTTAAATAATGGTCGAACAGTTAGTATGAAAAACGTCAGTCAGCATTTAACTTAATGGCAGATTGTATTTGCAGACAAGGTCACTGTATCGACCATAGAACTTGCGAAATGAAAACTTAAAACGAGACTGTACATATTCTTGTTTCGTCAACTTGTTTGTCAATAGGTGGCCTCGTTTTAGAAATTGTTCGTTTATGGAGAATGCTGTTGCGTATCGAATCAACTGGGCGATATGAACCCTACATGCCCGCATGCAGGTGACAAGGGTCTTGCTACATAAGTAAGGGAAATTTACACAGAGGCATTTGATTCGGTAATAAATTTGTTAACACATGTTATATTAATATCACAAGGTATCCAACTCCGATTTACATGGAGTACCTCCTCCCCAGAATCGCACTCATTTACACTTTCAGAAGAAATGCATTGATAAACTATTTATTACCAATGTCTTCTACGATAATTTATCTACACAACCATAGCTTACGTGTCTTTATTTTCTTTTATGTCCGTAAACAGCGGCAGAACTCTGCTCGCCGAGTGGAAAAGTCTACCTACACCATGAACTGGTTTGTGCCAATACCGGGCAGAGAGCAAAATTTAAAAAGAATGAGTGTGTTTAAAAATTCAATTCCAGTGTTTAAATATTGCAGTGAATAAATAAAATTTGTTTACGTCTCATTTTCCATAAAGACATTATGATATTTTTCCGATGTAATTTTAGGAACAGGATTTTAGCCATTGAAAATCTCTGCCCGGGGTTAGCACATTCCATTTCTTGGTGTGATTCGACTTTTCCACACGGCTAGCAAAGTTCTGACGCTGTTTTCGGACATAAACGATAAAAAAGGCAAGCACACCATATATGGTTGTGTGGATAAATTATCGTAGAAGACAATGGGAATAAACAGTTTGCCAGTGCATTGAATTTCCTCTGAAAGTGTAAATGAGTGCGATTCTGGGGAGGGGGTACTCTACGTAATTGAGTTGGATACATTGTGATATTATTACACCATGGGTTAAAAAAATTATCACCTAATCAAGTGCCTGTGAGTTGACGATAGAAAAGTTTAAGTCATCACAATTATCATAAAGTTTTGTTATTAGGTTTCCATTAATGTCTTTTTCAAGTAAAATATCCAAATAAGAAACAGATGTGTCAGACTCTGTGGTATCTTTTATTAAAAGTTAACTGGGATATATCGAGTCGACATATGAATGGAAACAACTATTATTAATTAATAATAAGTCGTCGATATAGTTGAAGGCCACAGCAAGTGTCTTCTTCTTCTTCTCATGTATAAGCTTTTTAATATATTCTGCTTCATATGAATACAAAAATAAGTATGTATTTCTTACCCTGAGATGCTACATCAATGTCAGGGAACGAGGCATGTAGCATAGGATGTCCTCAGCATTGTTGAAGTGGACTGCTAACTCGTAACCAGTTGATTTTATTATGAAGCTGAAACATTCATTTTTATAGGGTAAATTTCACGGAAAAAATTTAAAATGGTTATGTGCCTGCCACACGTTTGGAAATAAGAAATAGGAGAATTTATTCTAATATGTTAATTAATGTTAACTTTTTTAAACAATCCTTTTTCGATTTCTACACTCACCATACCAGTATTTATTTTTTGTCCTTGTAAGCAAATTTATCACATAATCTAACTTTCGTATATCTTCTTCCGTCCGTCAGCTATTTGAAAAAAGAACTTGTCTGTTCATGTTGGTTGTATTTAGAGTCCTGCATCACGAAAATTGATTCAAACACCCTGTTTTGAAAGGTGATGAGAAACTGCTTTTTAGCATGTAAATTAGTCTGATTATTACGCAGGAATGATTTTTAAAAGATATAGGGAATATATATTAGCGATGATTTTATATGAAGTATTAAGCATTAAAATTGATTGTATGTAATGTTAAATGCTGTTTTGGAACCCAACAAATTCTGCATGCATGGATAATTGAAAATAATACATGAATATAGAATTTTTCCATTACACTTTTTAACATGTTGACGGTGCGACCTTTAGGGCCAGCGCAGATACCTATTTAGTTTTAATTTACATCCGTCTCTTCAAACCGCACGTGACATTTGGTACGTCGTAGACTCTGACATCACATGACGTCGTATGTAAGTTGCTTTACCAAATTGAAGCCTGGACAGCGCTAGTTTTAGTGAAAAATGTTTAATCTACTGTTTTTTCTGCAATATCAATTAAATCGATGTGATTTTATTTTTTGTTGAACTTTTGTTGCTACCGCGAGATGCAATTCGCAAAGCATTATCGGACCACAGGTTACTGCGGAAAAAAATTCGTTTAGATCAATGTGCAAAGTCCGAATGTTTCTCTTCGCCCAGGCGTTGCTTTAAGAGCTCGCAGTGACGAGCGGCGCAGCTGTACATATCAAGAGTTTTAACAAGTCAGTACGATTTAAAGATGTTTGCTTTTTTACCAGGATAAGTTACTGTTGAAGATATGAATTATTATTCAAATTAGTGCCAACTTGTTTAGAAAAAAAATATTTCTTCGAAGCCTTATTCATTTTCCTCCTCGTCAAATACACTTTTAAAATAGTTTTTAAGATCTAGACATATTCTACCTGATTATCAAGAAAGCGATAGTTAGCTCTTTCAAGCTAGCAAAGGTCCTGGACACTGGTACTTTGAGAGTGTCTACGGTCATCTAGCTGAAAATAAGGTCAAGGTCAAGTGGCCAGTAACGCTGGTATTTTTCAAAATATTTTATGACAAACCGTGCACATGCTAAATAGCATCAACTTCCTCTTGAATTCCAAAAATCTTCTGTGAATTAGCACTATGAACTATTTTGAAAAGTAAGTCAAAGGTCAAGTTCAAAGGTCAGGAGGTCGGTTACCATGGTATAGCCATAGTGCCAAGCAATATAAGTGCAAAATATCAAATCACAAAAATGAGCGCAAAATGTCTGTACCTTTATTAATTATACCAAAAGATTGTCTGTAATCAAGAAAATTTGAAATGTTGAAAAGAAATCCTGCTGCACTCAATAACATACTGGATTTATTGATGATTAAAACATGCAATGAGATACTATCAGATGTCAAAAAATATTCATTCATATTAATTTTTAAAACAAAATGAATCGTGAACAGCCAAAAAGAGGAACCCCTTGTAACACCAGAGGTGGGATCAGGTGGATATAAAGATATCCCACAAAGATGACTTAATACGTATTAATGAATTGCTAAGTGATCAGTCTTTAGAATTCAGTCGTAGAAGGTTTTATCCATATCTACTGAATCAACATGCTGTTAAAGAATAACAGTGATTATCAAATGAATTTATCTACAAAATACACCACATTATTTAATGATTATACATGTTTCTGACAAAGTAGACAATTTTTATACCCCACTTTGAATATTGCCGCGAGGCAGATAGTGTTTGTCATTCTGTCTTCCATCCTTCCGTCCTTCCAACTGTCCGTCCGTCATATTGTGTTTATCCTAGTTTCAAAGAAACTGTTGTAGATATTTTATCTAAATATATATTGATGAGAACAATTTTATTAATATTGTACCATAATTTTCTGACCTTGACTATTCCTGTTACCTTGACCTCACTATTCCCTATTCTTTTTATAACACAGTTTCAAAGTATCTGTTCAAGATATGTCTATCAAAAGTCGTACACATACACATACACATTGGTTGGAACTTTTCAACTGATGCTTATTTTATTTTACCTTGACTTCCCTGTGACTTTGACCTAAGTATTTAGCTCATTTCCAAAGAGCAACAATAAGCAAAGATGAATTCCTCTATCTTCCACATTTCGAAAACAAATCCCAAAATAATCGAATATCTTTTTTATTTCAATATACAAGTTAACGTGTAACCTGGATATAAACAAGAAAAATAGCTCGATGAAGATGCTCATCAGCACTATGATGATAAGAGCAAGATAAATGTAAATATAGGGAATCGCTGTCTAGTTTGTTGATTGATTGATTGTATATTGTTTTACGTCCCATTCGAGAATTTTTCACTCATATAGAGACGTCACCATATACCGGTGAAGGGCTTCAAATTTTGACCTTTACTCGGCACTCAGGGCCATTGAGCAGTGAGGGATCTTTAACGTGCCAACGCCTGCCGTGACACGGGGCCTCGGTTTTTAAGGTCTCATCCGAAAGACCCGCAACTTTCACTCCAAAGTGCCGAGCGCATGGCGAAGGAACAGTTGCTACCTATTTTTTATCGACTTAGGTCTGTCGCGGCCAAGATTCGAACTCACGACCTCCCGATCACGGAGCGAACGCTCTACCGACTGAGCTACCGTGAACGGTTCTAGTTTGTTGGGTCTGCTAGGAATATTAACGACAGTTGGAAACGTGGGATTATTAATACATAACGGGCAATGCCCTTCTCAATTGCTTATAGGCATTCTTAGCTTTATTTCAGCTTTATTTCCAACAATGAACGCCTAAATCACTCAATTTCAAATGAAAATCTTATTTTTCTTTCAAGTTTTTATTAATGATACCTGGCTTGGAACGCAAATATCGACTTCTTGTTTAGACTTGGCGGATTAATCTGAAAAACGTTTGCAGTTATATAATATCAAGACAAGCTTGAGCACTTTCTTGCAAAAACGAACATCAATAATGCATTTCATTTCTAACTGTTATAGAAATTAAAATTTAAATTGAAGATTACTACAAAGAGGTTTATTATCTACATGAAATATAAATCGTATTGTTTGCGACAGTTAAAGAAGATAACTCTTATTTCTTCATAACAGTAAAAAACATCGGTCACAAACATCTAGCGATGCATATACTTTTTGCATTTACAACATATATTGAATTTTTTTCAATTTACCACCAAATTCAGCGACAAAGAGGTTGTCTCTAGTGTCAACACTTAAGCCCCATGGAAAGTATAAATCACAATTAACAATGTAACACAGGAACTGACTATCCTGATCAAGGATGTGAATACGGTTGTTCATATAATCTGCTATCAGGATATGAGCTTGACTGTCTGTAGTGATACCCATTGGGTTAAATATTTCTGTTTTAGTAGAGGGATGACCAGTGTATCTAAATCGGAATTTCCCTTCCTGATTGACCACCACTACAGCTTTGGCTCCATAGTCAGACACGCATATGTCCAGGTTCTTGTTCTCGCATATGTATTTAAGCTCCCCATATGAATACAAAGGTTTAAGCTGATCATCATACTTAATGCTTTGTTTCTTTGAGAAATTGGAGTAACGGACAAGTTTTGATTTCTGTTTGTCCTCACAAGACATGAAAACCAGGAGGTCACCACAGGAGGTACTGCAGACATTGTAAGGTCTCCAGCCCTGTAGTCTGATCACTTCCTGTATATTTTTTTTCTTCACTATGTTTATTGTTTTGGCATCAGGATCAGTATAAACTAAATCTCTACTTCTTGTCACTGCTATTCCAAAAGGATTTTTCCCTGATTTTGTTTGGATTGGCTTCAGTAGTTTGCCCTGGGGGTCGTATATGTTCATGACGTTGTCATTTCCACTTGTAAAAAGTTCTTCATCACTGAGACAGGTAACATTGTAGAGCTCGCTATATTCAGTTTTTATGGAAGCAATGAGTTTTGGTACTTCAAGCAATGGTTTGACTTTAGGAGAGGAGACAGCTTCGGAGGAATGCATGGTGAAGACATGTTTTTCTGTTGTCATAGATAAATGTGATAAAGAACCAAATAAGTTTAAAAACTGTCCTTGAGTTTTTGAAGGGGTAAAAACTGGAGGTTTTACATTCACCTTGGGTGGAAGTTTGATAAATTTGTCTGATCTAATCTCATAAGACAGCGATTTTAAAACTTCATTTGATTGCAGAATGTCTTCAATTTCAGATAAAGATTCTTTGACATCAAAAATTAGTTTCTCAATTTCATTTAAGTGCTTATTCAGAGTATTTTTATGTTTGCTTCTCATCTCTTGAATTTCATCCTTAGTTTTCTGTATAATGATATCAATTTCTCTGTGCCTTTCTTCTCCATCTTTTGTAACATCTGATGTGAGCTTTTCATATTGTTCATCTACGCCAACTAACTGTGATTTAAAATCGGACGCCATTTCTTCAAATGTTGAGATAACTGTTTCTTGTAACCTTTTTTTCTCTTTCTCAATGCTTTTCTTCTTTACGTTCAATAAATCTTGTAAACTAGTGAAAAAATGTCTCTTATGTTTGTCAGAATTAACACATCTTGAACAGACTGGAATATTGCAGTCTTCACAGTGAGTTTCACAGTGTTCTCTAGAATGGATCTTACACAGGGGATACACAATCATGGATTTTCTTAAATTCAGGGGTAACACATCATGCTTTTTGGAGATATCAGTCACGTGTTCTCCAACACATAGCTTACACAGATTCACTGGACACAAACTACAGAACATTTGTGCCAGATTGTCTTCACAGTGATCACATCGGAGGACATCCTGGCCACTGGTTCGGGGATCCATTTTTATCCTTATTCAGCTATCTGTAAAATAATTCAAGTTTATGAACATTTGTTGATCAAAACATGGTTGCAAAATATCAATTCAACCCCATTACCCTGCAAGAGATTACAATGAGGAATCAACATTTTTGGGGACATCTTCATAGAAACAGCAAGAAAATAACAATTCAGTCTTAATTTTTACATGCCTGGTATTTTGGTGATAAGGGCTCAGGTTTTCCCAATATATCTTAGACATACATGTATTTTCAATATCTCATCGTAGTAAAACTATAATACATCCTCTCTAATTCATGTGCAACAATGTACTGAAGTTTAATTCATTCCGGCTTTGAGGATAATGATATAAAATAACAAAGCCCAAAATATTTCCAAAATATTTGATGTGTTAAGTATGCGTATTGTAAAAAGTATGTATATATAAAAATATAAGTCAAGGGTTTCTGATCCACTCTGCTCCACATCAGAAACCCTTGACTTGGGAAGATCCCCCTGTAATAGCAAGCTCTAGACAGCTCAGTATTACCTGATTACGTTTCGCTACAACTTCATTATTCGTAGGGAAAGTAGTCCAGGAGAATTTACACTGTATGGAGTATATATATGCTATCATAGATAGAATGTAAACATTACCTTTGAAAGCATACAGCATATGTACTTCCGAAAAGGGTGAGGTAAACAGAAAAGAGAGAACAGTACAGAAGTAAGAACTCATGATAAGATAAAGAAGCACACTCAGAAGTTCAAAAATTGTAAAGGTACCGTCCAACTCTTTATCGCCTTTCATAACTGTGTCATGGTACGAAGGCCAGGCACACCGGAGTACGGTAATAAAAGAAGGAATCACAGATGCATGGAGCAGATAGATCCGGAAAGTTATCCATTAAACCATTCAAGATTTTAAGTTTAATGATGGGATTCTATTTTATAGAATTTATGGTGTCACGTGTCAAATTCTAAACTAGAGAGAGAGAGAGAGATACATATAGATATAGATATAAATATATATAGATATAGATATATGTAAGATAAAAAGATGAGATATATATACACAGCGGCGGATCCAGAAGTTCATAATAGGCATACAGTGATTTATAATTATCAAAAGTGAATGGCAAAGGGGAATAACTTTTCTCAGTAGAATCAATAATTCCATGTAGGAAATCACGTCTCGCTTGAACGCACAAAGCTGGTTACCTTTAGCCTGGAGTTAGGGGATACATAATTACTTGAAATAACACAAGATAGGTTATGCAATAGGTTTGTTCCCGTTTTGCACACATTTCAATTTCATGTAAAGAAAAAATCTGTGCGAAACGGGAATTTGTCCAGGCAAGATAATTACTTAACTGCAATTGTCTGTATCATAATTGGTGAATAGAAGAAGAGTGAATCTAGGAACAGATTAAGAAAATAAAATAAGGAAATAAAACAAAAAATATTATTTGTATTTCAAATTTTGATTTATTTCTTTAATTTTATAATAAGAAAAACAATCATTAGATAGATTCATTTATCAAACAAAAGGCAGAGTGAGCTGAATTTTTTAAAAAAGTAATATGTACTGAATTATCAGCTTTAAAATTATTTATTTTTCAAAGGGTTCGTCTGTGTTGTGGAATAGCATTTGAGAATGATTTATTTATTTTCCTTATTTTGAATATGATGATTAAAATTTAATAAAATATTATATAAATTCTTATTTCTTAAAACACACACATATATATACATGTAATTCGTTCTTTTTACGATATATTGATAAAATACAGGTAAATCCAGGTATAAAACCCAGATGGAGAGCAGACTATAATTGTATCAAAACACATTTCACTATTGTTCTATACCTAATTATCAAATGTGTGCAAAACGGGAACTGGTAATTCTATCCAAGTTTCACAAATGGGATTTCAAGTGACAAATAGTTGTGTAATGGTTATTTGAAACTTAAAGCGCAAAGAAGACCCAGATGTAAGGTTAGAATGGATTAACCTGTCCTCCCTTAAGCTTAAAGTAGACTAGTCCAAAGGGTATATTTAAGACTGCATTGAGAGATTCAGGGTCTTTTGGGGAATGCAGAGCTGCAGTTAAGTGGAAGCAGGAGAAATTTGGGTAAGAATAACGGATAAGAGAAAGGGTAAAATAAAAGAAATAGGTTTGCACCAGTGACAAGAATCTCGGGTAATTGAGGCGAGATACTGGGGGCTGTAGATCTGAATAAGAACGAAACTCCTAGTATCCGCTATCAATAAGAACCTGGGGCAAGGTACACGGTGCTAAGTCTAACAGTTACCAAGTCATAAGAATTCATCCCACATTATATATTCTTTGATTAAATATAATAGAAAAACCCAGATAGGTTTAAGGAAAAAATTATTATACTGTACATAGTCAAATTATTAGATCATAAACTCAGGTAGAGTAAGAGAAAAATCCATCCCCTGAGAACCCTACTCAGGGGTACACGTTACAGTTGTATAGTGTAATATGAATAATTGCAGCAAGGTAGAATTTTGAACATCACAGAAAGTTTACAATTTCTTAATGTTTTAGAAATCTATTCTTCGCGTCATTTACAACCAAAATATGTCCAAAAATATATACAAATCTAGGCATCCATTTTTTGTTTGTATCATCTGTCCTTAAATATATATTATAATGCAATGGTAAAATACAGGTAATTCCAGGTAGACTTCAAACAACGGAGATCAGACTATAATTGCTATAAAAACATATTTCACACCTATTGTTCAATACCTAATTACCAAATGTGTGCAAAACGGGAACCCAATGCAAGGAGAGACAAAGTGTTTCTTTGAGATTAACGTAATTAAATATTATGATGAATAAAATCTTGATCGACATAGATCGTTTTTTGAAACCGAAAATAAGAAATATGACGAAAATTGTAGAGCATGGCTCCTAATTTTACTCGAGTATAAAGCTGAAATAGTGTACATTGTATCAGAAACTGACTAAGAGTAAAGCAGATATGGGTTTTGAATCAAAACAATATCTTATCAACTACATTGAATTAATTTTAGTTATATGATTTACACACTGGCACTGGAAGTTAAGTGTAAATAAATAGTATGTGCACGTAAAAAAGGACTACCCTTACTTTTTTTTATATACATGCGCATACTATATATTAACATAAACTTCCATGCAGTGCCCGTGATTTAACCTGCATACACCCAGTATCCAAGTCGTTAAGCCGAAATTTTTAACCTGACTTTACTTTCTTCTTTTCACAGTGAATTTTTGGTATGATTAAAAATTTCACTTAATATATTATTTTTCTATTAAAAAAATAATGTCATACATCTTTACTAAGTCTGTAACCCTCGCCTCCCTCCCCAGTATAAGAAAAATATTTATATGATGAACAAGAGGACATTCACTCTCAAGGTTTGGCTTTATTGAACAATATAAAATATCAAATTAATTGTAGAATTGTAGAAGTAATTACTTTATTAATTTTTTAAATGAGACAAAGAATGCGATTCCTTTCATCGCAAAAAGTGGCGAAAATATTTTTGCTCCAGTGGGATCACTGCTATGGAGCTTTGGTTTACTATAGACAAGTCTTACTTTGGTTTACTATTAGTTAACTATAGTAACCTATGATTTAATTAATATAGCTTACTATAGTATTTTTGTTAGGGCAGTTACCACACCTATGAATGTATGTTATCTAAACAATATAATGGCGGTATACATACAGTTGTAAATTTTAGCTATTGTTGACATGGATTTTTACAGAGGAAAATTTTACAGTGCAACATGCAATAATTATTTTTTGCCTTATAACGAACACACATAAAGCAAATACTATACACAGTTATTGACAGTATGAGGACAACATATTATTTGTTGGATATGAAGACAAAAATGTTGCCCAAGACTCAGAGCAAACATTCTAGTTTGAAGTCAACATTTCACAAGTCCTAAGATTGATACAAGACCTAATTAACAAATACAACCTATTGTTAGGTAGAATGTTGACTGTTTTAATATAAAGTGTTAGGTTATTAATTTCATACTCAAGACTAAGGGCCAACGGAGGGTGTTAATGTTCGATATGGGATGCTTACTCCTCCATGGCACCTGATCCCACCTCTGATGTTTTCTAACCGTCTTCTGTCGCTCTGCTCTCTTAGTCATATCCTGAATTTTGTTTTGAGTTTTCTTCATAACGATGTCAATTTCTTTCTTTCTTCTCCATGTTTTGTAACATATGATGCAAGTTTCCAGATTTTCGATCTATATCCCCTTACTAGAATTTTAAATCAGTATCGATTTCTTCAGATGTAGATAACCGTCTCATTTAATTTTCTCCTTTTCTATTTTATTTTCTTAGAGCTAATCAATTCTAGTATACTTTTTTGAAGTGATTGTGTTAGTCAGAAGTAACACATTTTGGACATATTGGACATTTACAGTCATCACGTGTGTTTCACAATGCACTTTAGGTTTTGAAAGTGAGAGTAATTTAAATATAAAAATATATCCTCTTTAAATTATTGAAAGTTCAAATCGCAGGACCACCTTCTGTACTTTGATTTTTTGATACTTTTGATCAGTTGATAGACAATTGTCTTTTGATCAATGTATTTAGCCTTTAAAAATGAACCTTGATTATTTTAATTAATGAACCTGGTCTTGCCTATAAACCCTTTGTCTGTCACAAACTTTGGCTTGGTGACTGGGCACTTCAAAATGACTAGCATGACTATTGCTTAATCCTTTCATTTGATGTGACTTTTGCTTAATCCTTTCATTTGATGTAGGAATGTCTTAAAGTAACTTGAAAACTTAATAACTTTCTCCAAAACCTTTCCCTACATAGAAATCCAATATGTCTGAAACAAACTGGTAATTTTCATAACTGATGGTTATGACTGATGGTTTCATAGTAATAAGGACTGATGGTTTCCTAGTAATGAGTCTTTTCCCAAAAATGTAAACCACTCATCTGGATATGTAAATCAGATATGCCATCTGATGCATCCTTATA